CTTGCAAGGCAGATGCGGCACCACTGAGGTAAATCCCCGGCCCCACCTTCTATAATTTTTTGAGACTGTGTACTTAAAATATGTGAAACTGTTTTTGAAATTTCCCAAAGGTATGGAAATAGTGGTAATGACATAGCATTAATCTTTCTCAGTTATGCAGCAATAACCCTTGAGTTTTAAAGAACTCACACAATTTAAGACAATTTCAGTGAATAATTTCAGAATTTGTTGCACTTTAGTAATAGAAATGTCCCAGTCTTCACAGCGACATTTGTTTACTCCCATTATGACTTTGTAGTCTCTTTCTTGTGAAATTAATTTGGTATCAGACACCAAATTAGGAATAGAATTTATAGCTGGTATATATTCTTGCAATTTAATGCTCTCAATTCTTATTGAACATTTAAATCCAAAACTTGAGATGTATATTGCCATGGTAAATGATGACAATGAAATATTTTCTGCTTTGTAAGTAGAACTGAAAATCACTGTGATTAGTTTTTTTCCCCTTTTTACTCCTTTCTTTCCCCTTGAGACACATTGGTTTCCCAAGTTAGGAATTCAGTTTCTTTTGTTTATTCTAGCTGCTTAGTTTTTCTTATTACATACCTGTTTAATTTTTAATTTCTCATTAAAAGTAAATATGGTTAATTTTCCTATCAATATTTCAAGAAATCTTCCATTTTTCTCTGGTACAACCTTGATATAGTGTTGTCTAATGTGCATTACTACATAGTTGAAATGTTATTTTGTCAGATCTAGCAAAGTAGCTTATCAATACATTTAAAATGAATCAGCAGTTTACTTCCATAAAGTTGAGATAAATGTTATAAACACTGTTCTGGAGCTAAAAATGCTAAGTGGAATAATATTTGTAATGCCATGGGAAAGGTTGTTAACAATTGCAGGAAAAATACTGTAAAGATGAACATATAGATACCGAGACCTTCTTAGTCTTCTTTATTACATAATGCATACACATAAAAACACTAATCTTAAGTCATTTGCGAAATACACTTTACGCATGGGCCATATGGCAGTCACTGCGTTTGTGGCAATACTGTGGCAGAACTGGGTAGTTGTGATTAAACTGGATCAGAGGATTCTTGTCCTTGCCGTTTATGCCATATTTGTGGGGCTCCTGAGACATGGGAGCACTCGTGTGGCTGGAGTATAGTGACTGAGGCAGAGAGCATCATGATATGAGGCCCGAGGATGAGCAGGGCGTGAGTGTTAGCAAGTGTCTGGTTACGATAGAATTTGGACGTTTTTTCTCACAGTAATGATGTCATTGACGGCTTACCACAGGGAAATTAAACAGTTTTATGCAAGATTACTCTGAGCATTAGTGGAAGATGGTCAGTTGGTATCATAGGAGAGGCAGAGAATCCAGCTAGAGTTTGTTCTAAATAAGGCAGGTTATGCTGATGGCTTGGACTAGTAGACTTGAAAAACATTGGAAGAACTAGATCAGTTGAACAGTTTGTCTCTCAGGTGTTTTCGATTGAAGAATTGGTCCCTAGATATTTGTACTAACACATACTAAAACCAAAAGTGAAACATAGTATCAGTTAAAAGGAAGGGATTCTGATACAGGCAGTAAAAGCAAACATGCTAGTTAACAGGAAATTGTTCTGATATAAGCAATAAAAGGAAGATGAAAGCACTGTTTCCACATAGCTTGCATCATATATAAATTAGGCCAAAAAACAGTCCATGATACCATGATGAACTCTTTTTTATGGTCTTGTATTTTGCTTTAGGTTTTTCCCAGCAAGACTAATTTTTTGGGATGTGTTTTTCATGGTGTCACTAGGGCTGTGCCTGCCTTGCCCACAAGGTCAAGTTATAAATTTGAACCTCTCATTGTCCAGCTGGAGTCTCTCAAGTTACCCTGTATCAAGCTGCATCCCTCACTTTGGATGGGTAATTTTATAATTTATCAGGGAGGAAACTGTTCTATATTCATGTTATGAAACAGGGATGATTTATCTTTTTACTTAAAACTCACAACTTAGGTTCCACCTACATAGGTACTGTAGTGGCTTATGTTTGTGAAAACAGAACCCAAAAGATATTATGCTTTTCTCACTTTGGCTGTGGTTACATTTGCCTGTACATTAAGTGTGTATTCATTGAGGATTCAAAGTACAATGTATTAATTTTTTTATTTCCTGCAAACAGTATTTTGTATGACTGTTAAGGGGCTGGGATTATAAGTGTTTTGTTCTTCACTGTACTCCAGTGCCTAGCATAGGAACTGGCACACAGTTTGCACTTGATAAATCTTTATTAAATAGACAGTGAAAGAAGGAATAGGTGGGCCATCAGTCTGTAGGAGAGGATAACTCACTTTTCAGAAACCAAGACATCAGGCAGACTATATTTTTTCTAGAAGATTATGTCCCAGAAGCCTGCAGAGAAATCAAGACTGAAAAATATAAATTTGGGAATCACACAATAAAAAGAATTACATGAACCATGAGCGCAGAGGTTCTTAAGTGTATACCGGCAAGAGTAAGGATAGAGGAAAACTGAACAGAGGAACGGAATTGGAAGAGGGTGAAGCCCCAGGGGAGCAAGGTGTTCTGTGGATTGGGGGCAGTCACCTGTGGCAAGATCAGAGCTGGGAGGTGAGGAAGGTTGTGAATGGAAAGAGATCCTTGGATTTGGTCAGACGTAGTGAAGGCATAATACCAGCCTGGGTGCGTGGAGGGTAGTGAAGCTGTGGAGGTCCTGTTTCTTTATGTATGCTCCTCATGACTAATTATTCTAACTGAGGGGGAAACTTTTAAAGCAAAGATTTGATTAGTTTTAATTTTCCGTTGCAAATAGTCCATCGTCCGTAGGACCCTGTTTGCACTGATATTGAAGGGTTTTGTGATTCATTGTAAGCTGATCAATGATTGAGACCATATTTTCCATTGCTCCTATTATAAGTTAATGATGTTGCACATATACACGTGGATACTCATGTATTTTATACACACACATATAAAATTATTTGGGGGAATTGCAAAATAGTCATAGTAGTTGAAAAATTGAAAATTTGCCTGAGTTTCATTATGAAAAAACGTCAGTTCTTCAACATTATTTGGGAAGTTTTCAGTTGAAATTTAAAAAAATTCTCTAGTATGGGAATGAACAGTGATAAGGCTGTATCAGTAAAAAATTTGGATGTGCTAATAATGTGTGTGTACACACACATACATATACATTATATGTAATTTTAGGGGACTCTTTGAGTGTGATGCTGATAAGTATTTACATGGTGAAGGGCAGCTACGGAGCACTTTTGAGCCTTATTGGGATTCTGCTATTTGCAAAGGAATTAATTTTCACATACGTGATAGTATCTTATATAAATGATTATGTCCTTTGTTCTAAGCATTTATAGTAATCCCAGGAAGGAAGTTTTATTCCTAATTTAAAGTGGAGAAATTGGAATTCAGAAAGTTTAGTGATGCCTAGTTTACAGAGCCAGTAAATCCAAAACTGCTCTTTTACTTGAAAGCTACTGTCCAATCTGCTTAGTTAGAATCCTTAGGGTGTCAGTGTGAGTTATCTACAACTGTGGCCAAGAAATCTCCATAAGAAGACACAAGCCACTAAATGAGAATTTTTTCAGCGTCCAGTTCCCCATCTGCATATTTATATCTACATCTGACATTTTTTTCCTTTCTGTTAAAAAGGCTCTTCCCTCTAAGCACTTGATATTTATCTCTTGCATCTTTAGCTTATGTCTCTTCCTCCTGCTCACTCGTTACTAGCTTCTTCTCATGAGCAGAAACCAGTCTTTCTCCCAAGTAAATAGCTTCTGTATTAGTAATTGCTGCATAACAAACCACTCCAAAGTTGGTGGAGTAAACAGTATCATTTATAGCTCTCTGTTCGGTAGTTGAACAGATTAGGTTAGGCTTGGCTGGACTTGGTTATGCATTTGTAATCAGCTGGCCAGCTTTGTTTCTGTGGCATTAGCTGGCCAGTGGCCAGGACCATCAGGTGACTGGAGCATGCGTCTCTCTTTCATGATCCAGCAGACTGGCCCACCCTTGTCCACATGGTCATTGAAGGGGTTTGAAGAGAGAGAAGCCTGCAAAGCAATGTGAGGTCTCTGGCTTGAAGCTCTTATATATAGCATCCCTCCCTCTGCTTTCTTTTTTTTTTTTTTGGTACCGGGGATTGAACTCGGGTCCTTGCGCTCCCTCTGCTTTCTGTCAGCCAAAACATGTCACCATGTCAAAGAAGTGAAGAAGAGGAAGGCTGAATCATGGAACTCTTCTTGTAGTGAACCCCAGTGCACCCTTTGAGACTGTAGTCCTGTCCTTGACCAGAATTGTATGCTTATGCTCTGGGCTCCCTCGCACTGTGTGTAGAACATTATATGGCAGTTGTTGGTTCACTTCTTAGTGGAAAATGAGCTCCTTAAACATAAAAGACTATGTTGTAATTCAGGATTTTCTGTACAGGTAATTTTTGAAAACTGAAGTTCTTGTGTTAATTAAAAAATTTAAAAGTTGCTATCTGGTAGTATGGAAGTAGAGATAGAACACAACTATGCTTGGATCTTAAAATCTACTTGTTGACATTTTGAATATTTCTTTTGAAAAATGAAAAAGAATTTGGCCAGGGTTTTAAGTAGAAATTATTTAATGCTTTCACACTATCTTTGCAGGTATCTCATAGGTTATGAGCTTTTTAAATTTATTTTTTAAATGAGGAAGACACATTATAATTTCATGGTGAATTTGTCAGAGAAAACATGACCCATCCATTAACTAGTTCTTTGGGATTTGGGATAAAATTTCTATTTTAGAATGTAAAATGAAAGAAGTTATGACAGCCAGCATCCTGAATATTACCCTGGAAGTCCCTGAAAATAAATACTTCTGTTAGAACGGGAAGAAGAATATACCTAATATGAACTCATCTTTAAGTGAATGTCTTACAAATATACTAATTCTTAGTGGATGGATTTTTACATGTGGTATATATTTTAGGTTCACCTTCTTGAATTCCTAAAACCTGACCACATTTCCCATCACTGGGCTGTTTTCCTGGTATCTAACCATGCAGCGGAGATCAAGAGGAATTAATACTGGGCTCCTTCTGCTCTTTTCTCAAATCTTCCATGTTGGGATCAACAATATTCCACCGGTCACCTTAGCAACTTTGGCTGTCAACATCTGGCTCTTCTTGACTCCTCTGAAGCCACTGTATCACTCTTGCCTTAGTGTGGAGAAGTGTTACCAGCAAAAAGACTGGCAGCGTTTGTTGCTTTCTCCCCTTCACCATGCTGATGATTGGCATTTGTATTTTAACATGGCGTCCATGTTGTGGAAAGGAATAAATCTGGAGAGAAGATTGGGAAGCAGATGGTTTGCCTATGTCCTCACTACATTCTCCCTGCTCACTGGGGTGGTATATTTGCTCTTGCAAGTGGCTTGTGCCGAATTCATGGATGAGCCTGACTTCAGAAGGAACTGTGCTGTAGGTTTCTCAGGTAAGAAGGATAAATTTCTGATGTAGTGTGCTTGTGGGCAGTGAGGGAGAGGTGGATGCATGGGGCCAGGGTTAGTAAGAGGATTGAATTCTGAGTGGTTAAGGACTGCCGGGGCGTGGATCTGGAAGAGCAAGCTCATCCGAGCACAAGGGGGCATCATTTTTGTTGTCCCATACCGTGCTGTTCATTCGCTCTTGGACAGTCTAAGGGCCTGCTGTGAGGTGGTTTTGCAGGACATGTAGCATTGGAAGGACACACTGCCCCCATAATGGTAGAGCCCATAGGTTCGTTTGTGATAAAGTGTTTTCAAAAAAGACTGGAGTATCTATGAACCAGGTTGACAGTGCACCGATTACCAACTAGTCTGAACCTGGGGAGTCAGAACACATTCATATGCAACAATTACACAAACCAAATTTATTAACTTACAGACAGGCAGCAAGGGCCAGCAGAAGCCTAGAATTCATTGTGCACTACCCCTACGGCTGATGGACTCTCAGCTCTACAGGCCCCATTTGTGCTGCAGATGAGGAACCCCAAAAGGCAGCCTCAGCTATGCACCTAGATGTATACCTGCGGTTCATATGAGTTACTGAGCAAAGCCTTAAAGCACATCCTGTTGCAGAGGAGGCTAGAACACAGCCCAGGCTGACCTGGCCAGCTCTTTTTGTCTTAGGATTTTGCATTTAGCACATTCTAGATCTACTAGCAAGAAAGGGGAAGCACTGAATCAGTCCATGGCCACCTGCTGCTTATGGCTTTCAGTAATTTCATTAGAATAAATGCGCCACACCCTAAAGTAAATTCACCACGTGCATCATGTTGGCAGAGCCATGATAGTCATTCGTGTCCTCTTTAATTCGTATACCAGATCCATAGAGAGGTGGCATCATCTTGATATTGTAGATGAGAAAGCTAAGACCCAGGAAAACAGGAAAGTAGCTCAAGTTTACACAGTTAATAAGTAGTAGGGCTGAGATTCTAACACAGCCTGCATGACTTTAACTATATGACGCATTGCCTTACACCTTTCCTCTTCACTAATTCTTTTTTCACAGATAATTCATGGGACTGAAATTGTCATTAGGATTAAAGTTAGGTGTTCTAAATATTAGAATGGGAAGGGGAGGAGGGAAATAATGTTGAAAAGAAAATTGAATCCTTCCCTGTTTTCCTGGCCATCCTACACTATTCCCTCAAATACATCCTTATGCATCTAATCTGGAAGAAGAAACAAAATATGGCCAGCCTTCAACACGTCTTTCTAGAGATTAGAAAAATACATATTACTGGCATTTTCAAATTGAGTTAAAATTTAGGTAGTATGAAATTAACTGTTTTAAAGTGCATAGTTCAGTGGCACATAATACCATTGCTGGTGTGTCAGTCTCATTTTATGCAGTAGATATTTTGTAGACTCGGGATGAACTTCCATGTTAAGTAACATCAAAGGGATGATTACCTTGAATATTGCCTTTTTAACAAATGCTAGGTTATAAGGAGTAGAGTATGTTTCCAAGCAAAAAGTTGGAATAATTGTTTTAACATTTAATTAGTTTTCTTTATAAATGTTGATTATCTCCACATTTGGATTGTTGATATTAGAGTGTTCTGTATTTTCTTTTAGGAGTTCTGTTTGCCTTGAAAGTTCTTAGCAACCATTATTGCCCTGGAGGCTTTGTCAACGTTTTGGGCTTTCCTGTACCCAACAGACTTGCTTGTTGGGCAGAACTTTTGGCTATTCATTTCTTCTCACCAGGGTAAGTGTTTACTCTTAGGGAATAAAACTGAAGAACTTGATGTTCCATGGGAAATAATTTCAATGATAATGAAGGAACAATTTTTTTTTTTTACAGTGGAGTTTATTAACCAAAGAGACCAAATTTAGTGGTGTTAATATCAGTCATTCCTATCTTTGAATCCTGCCAGTTACTGAATTGTATAATTTTGGGGTATATGTCTTAGCTGAGTTTTCAGTTTCCTTGCTATTTAAGTAGGAATAAAAGAACCTAAATATACAGATTTGGATGCAAAAATCTAATATACAGTAGTTACCTCTAATAATAATATTCCGAAAAGACACATAGAAAGCTCATAAAGATTTTTAAAAAGCACAAGATGTGTTGGTCTAATGCCTTTAAGACATTTTAGTTATGAATTATCTTGATAATAGAACTCTTTAAACAAAAGGCTTTACTCTGAACCGATGAGTAACATGGATCAACTCTCAATTGTTTTAGATTAAGGGGAAGCACAGGGCACGGTTCCCTTTGCCTTTACTTTGTTCTTGCTGTAGTCACCTGCGAGGCACCTCTACGAAACCGCAGGGCTCTGAGAATTCAGTTTCAGATCTGTGATCTTGATGAGTTCTTTCCTGTACACATGAGGACATGGAAATTCAGAATGTAAGAAGCTCATCCAGTGGCTCCTGGGAGACCCTAGACTAGTTGAGATTCAGGCCTCCTAACTCCTGTCCTAGTATCCAGTCATGCTGTGCTTCTCTCTTTCTTTGTTTTCTGTTTAGAGAAGGGATGGATGGCATTATTTTTCTCCACCTTTTCCACTAGCTTTACTTCACTCAATCTTGGAAACACATGGTTTGTTTATTACGACTGTGGCAACCTGGAGACTGTGGAGAAGGGTGAGATTTTAGGAAGATTCAGAAAGAAGTAAGGAGTTATTTCCTCCTGCCTGTTGAGACAGGAGTTTTTATTTTGGTTTTGATTTGTGTAACTGTGTTGGGTGTTGTACGACATTTGAGAATATTCATGTTGGGCTGTGTGTGTCAGCCCAATAACCTTGAGTCCTTCTTTAATGCTAATTTCCCATCATGGGCAGCCATTGGCAGCTGGTCCATAAATGGCAGTGATGTGGCATTGAACACTACTCATTTACAATTGTATTGTTGCTTGTGACAGTTCAACTAAGAAAGCCTAACAAAATCTTCAAAGTTTTCTTTCAAAAAGTGTCCAATAATGTCTGTCTCTTGTCTGAACAGCCCTCTCTATACCTTGTCACTCACAGCTCTCCTAACTTGCTTGATGTGACTTGGTTCTCTATATAGACTATAGGCTCTTGTATGTGCCTGGCAACACCCAACATTCATATGAAAATCACTCCCTCTGGTCCTTGAACTTTTATCCTGTAATGAGTCCACTGAATAACAGTGTCTTAAATATTCTCATGCAACTATTTCTGAAGATCTCATCGTGTTGTTTTTTTTTTTTTAAAGGGTCCCCTCTTTACTTGGAAAAGGCATGGTTACATTTTTGTGTAATATGCTTATTCTGTATGGAGGTACCTCATATTTTGAGCCTGGGAATTAAGTGAAATTTCTTGTCTTTGAACTTTGAAAGAATAAATCTTTTGGTTTTTAAAGATTTGACTACTTTCAACAATAAACTTTGAGTATCCAAGCATCTATTTATGCATGTGTCCAAATAAAGAATGAGCTAAACACTGGTCCAAGGAACCTAAAAAGTGTTTTTATGAGATGGGCCTTAGAAGAAAGGGAGAAACTAGGGCTCTCACAGCTTTGTGTCATTATTCTCCTGGTGGTTGTCAATTAGAATTTTCATTGGGGAAACACTGTAAATCTTTAGAACAAAGCTTGCTTTTCTCGTAGAACTATATGGGGTGCCTTTTGGGAGGGAAAAAAACCCCTGCAAAGCAAACATTTTGTGGACCTCTGTGTTTCATGAAAGCCATGGAGTTGATAATTTCCCCCAGCGAGAGAGTTCTGCGAAGGAAAGCCACTCCAAGCAGGCGGCCATTGGGCGCTGTGAGGGGAGTGGACTTGACCCCTTGAGAGTGAAGTAATCACACTCATTTGATGATGCGGTGCTTGTGCCTTTCACAGTCCTAGTGGGTGCTGATGTCAGTGATTGCCCAGCCTCACGCTTGTCTTTTCATTTTCCATCACATCCTGCGACCCTGTTAGGTGACTGTGTTTGGAGGAGTCCCTGCTCCTGAGGGGCCCGGGAGGGAGGGGTGCCGGCCGCTGGAGGAGGCCGCCTTCGCAGGTTGGGCTTCTGTCCCTCTCGCCTCTCACTGCCACCGGCACTCTGTTGGTGAGTGGAAGGTGCCTCTGAGGCCAGGTTTTATTTTCTAGCTCAAATTATGAACCTCTAAAATCTTTCCATACGAGCCTTAGGGCATGTAAGCAGAAAACTGAAGCTTGGAGAAATGAATGTCACGGAGAGAAAGTCAGTCACTGGGTGACCATCTGGACAGCAGTGGGCAGCTGTGACGGGGAGCAGGGCTTACCAGCTGTGGCAGCTTAGGCGAATCATACAGTCGCTCTCAGCCTCATTTTCCTATCAAATGGGAATATCACTTGCCTTCCCAGTTTAGCAAGGAAGTTTTAAGGCACCAAAGAGGTAACTCGGAGCAAAGTGCCTTCTAAATGAAAAAAAAAGTTCTTAACCCTTTTAATTTTTAAATAGATCCCTGGAAGTGTACAATATCCCTAATTTCTTTCTAAGATGAGTAAAATAAGTTAGCTCTGATTTAATTGTTTGCTTCAGTTCTACTCCATACCCCTTTTGCTTCCTGTGATTTTCCGTCTGAATGACAACAGTCTAAAAAATGCTTCAAGCCACTAATAAACACTAATTAAGAAGGCCATGACCGCATTTGGGCCCTGGGTGATTCTTTGAAATATTATGGCAGTTCTGAAAACATTAACCCCTTGGCTTTGGGTATTGTTTCATTGCTAATGTTTGACAAGAGTAATTACTTTGACCCTACTGAAAATTTCTTAGTGAGATTGAGCAAATAAGAGAAAAACATAGTTGATACATTTTTTACTTTTCTTTATTATAAAAAATTTCAACATAAAGCTTGCTAAACCACTTGAAAGTGAGTTGCAAATATCATTATAACTTTACCATTGAAAATGTCAACATGTATCTCCTAAAATTATCCTTTCGTAAAGGATGCATTATTATTATTATCATACAAAAAAAAGTGAACAGTAATTTCTCAATGTTGTCTAGCCCATACTTGTATTTCCCTAGTGTTCAAATGTCTTTTATAGTGTTGTTGAGGTGGGAGAGAACCAGCATCCAAATTTCACATATTACATTTGAGTTTTCTATTTCTTGTTCGCCTTCACTCTAGGAGAGATTTTTTTCCCCCTTTTTGTTTTTCCATGACCTTGACATTTGGAAAAGATCAGATCTCTGGTTTTTATAGAATTTGTCACATTCTAGCATTGTCTGCTTGTTCCTCTGGAGGGTTAACTTGTCCCTTTTATCCCTGCATTTCCGGAAACCCACAAGTTAGGTGTAAGGGGTTAATTAGATTCAGCTTCAACTGGTTTTGGCAAGGATACGCCATAGAGGTGCTGGTGTGTATTCCATCTTGCTTTGTATCAGGAAGGACACACATGCCAGGTTGTCTTCTATTAGGAATTAATTATAAGCTTAATCCTTTCAAGGTAGTCGCCATTGTCAGGGCAAATCGCAAGCAATCTGTGAGGTGAAACTTGGGCCTAATTTTTTTCCTAATGGTTTTTGTCTGTATCAGTGATGATTCTCCTCTTAGTTGGTTATTTCGGGGGGTTTGTGAAGGATGACTTCCTGATTATGTTACCTTTTCTATACTTCTTACTTGAGGTTAATCCAGAGTTGGTGGGTGAAGATTCAAAGGCAGTGAATTGAGGAAGAGGAATATTTATCAAGGATAGGTCTTAGTTTTGTGGGGCTTCAAGCTTATTTTATTCTGTGGGTCCTCTTCAAGCAACAGTGCAAAATTTTGGGAGCTGTTATTATAAACATTTTACAGTTCATAAAAGTTACATAACATTAGTTCTCTGGCACAGTGCTGCAGTATTTTCCACCTACAGGTTATTGCCCCAAGCTCTTGTTTTCTTCATATGAAAATAACTTGCAAATAGCATTTCCATAGAGAGAACATCATAGCAGCTCAAAATTAGTTTATTATTGTTGAGAGTTTAGAAAATCTTTGATAATTCATTGTGTTGATTTTTAGAATTATTATCAAATTTTGGAAAGCCTCTACTAAGGTATTTTCATATACACACTATAAAATCTCAGAGCTTTTCAAATTTTCTTGTGCTTTGACCAATTTCAAATGTACTTTTAATTTATTTGAATGTTATTACTGACTTGTAGGGCATTATATGAGATTTATGTTTTCTTCACTGATGTCCGTACTTTGTGCTCAATCAGCAAGTAATTTAAATGCTTTACTAAGGTTCTTAGGATTCACTCATATTAATCGCATTATCAGAAATCCAAGATCTTGCTGATTACTTTTGTTCATAGCTGTTAATATGATTTCAAGTAATTTTTTCTTGAGAATTGCAGAGTTCTATTAAAGCTTATTTTGCATAATTCTCAGAAAAGAAAGGAAAATGAGGCATTTATAATTGTATATACTGCATTACCAAATGTGTTCCTGCTAGACATTGGTTTAATTTCTGTTTGGACTATTTATTAAAGAGAGTTGAGTCCTCTGCTTACAATTTTACATGCGTGATGTTTAGTAGAATTTTCTAGACATTGGGTTCTGACTCTGCCACAATAACCATTCTGTCAGCCCTGGACTTAAAGTTGCCACCCAGCTGCTGCTCCCCTGCCTGCTGTAATCTGGGTTGCACAGTGGATATCGACAGCATTTCTGAAAGTCATTTCTGCACTGAAGTACTTAGTAATAACTTAACTATGCACAGAAATAACCACAAGCCACATAAATATACTGTACTGAAACCAAACTGGATGGATCCTTAGCTCAG